GGGCTGCTGGCCTGGCAGGGGCGGCAGCACCAGACCCACAGCTGCTCTAAGCATTTGCTCCCGGCTGCCACAGCTCCTGGGCCTGCTTCTTTCCAGCCTGCCTCGTCTCAGTCCAGGGAACCCGGCTCTGCCCCGCTCTGACTCTGGCACCGGGCCTCCGGCTGCTGCTCTGGCCCTGGCTCCCAGCAACTGCTCCAGCCCCAAGGAACGGCCACCCCCACCCCAGCCCTCACGGGCACGGCCAGCAGAGGCAAAGCCTCCCGGCTGCCACAGCTCCTGGGCCTGCTTCTTTCCAGCCTGCCTCGTCTCAGTCCAGGGAACCCGGCTCTGCCCCGCTCTGACTCTGGCACCGGGCCTCCGGCTGCTGCTCTGGCCCTGGCTCCCAGCAACTGCTCCAGCCCCAAGGAACGGCCACCCCCACCCCAGCCCTCACGGGCACGGCCAGCAGAGGCAAAGCTCCACCAGGTCCCCGCCCAGAGAGCTAAGGGGTTTGGTCTCAGCACTCAGCCGGCCAGCAAGGCTGTTCTCGGTGTGATCCGGGGCCGGAGGCGCAGGGAAAGCCGACCTCAGAGCGGGGGCAGCTGTGTCTAGCAGGCCGGCCAGTGCCATGCTAACCCTTGCTGTGATCTGCAGTGCAGAGAGGAAGAGGAGCTGGGGAAAAGACGGGTGACTTCTGACATCTGCGGAGCGCGAGTCACACTGCAAAATACAAAGAGAAGAGGAATGTAGCGTCACAAGGCCCACGCCAGGCACCACGCAAAGGCAGGGAGCGTTAACCCGCCCTGCTCCTGCGCCGCCGAAGAGACATGCACGGCGCCGCGCAGCCCAGGCAGAGACCGAACCGCAATTAGCCCCCCAAAGAACGCCAGCCACCCCCCGTCCCACCACAGCCACGCTCGGCCAGCCGGCCACTCTGGGGGGGTCTGCAGGACCTGCGGGCAGCGCCTGGGCTGTACAGGGACTCTCAGGTGTGCATCTGTCCCTGTCCCTGTCCCCTTCACACGGAGCCACAGCTGCTGAGAACACAGGGCCTAGGGCTCCATCTGGATCTGCCTGGGCCCAGGCGGGCTGGAGCCCCCAGGGATACACCCCACTCCGAGATGCCCGGCAGCCGCCGTCTTTCAGGGGGGGGCCCTCAGCTGGGTGAAGTCTGAGCCGTGCTGAGCGTCCCCCCGGCTTTCCCGCTACACGCGTGGCTCACCCCTCGGCCTGCCGCAGGGCAAGTGCGCTCTCTCGGGCTGTCTGCAGGCCTGGCCTGCTGGGACCTCCCCGCGGGGCTGCCCCTCTGCTGACGACTGCGGGCAAACGGCTCTTGCTGGAGGCTCCTGGCCCTACTCACCTCGGGAGGCTGAGACCCCGGCTGGACAGGACGGCCCTTTGCTGGGACACCGGCGTTGCCTGGGAAGGGAGCAGGCCTGCACCTCCCTAGCGCAGTCCGGGGGCTCCAGGGGAGACCGGGTCACTTGGCCCAGCACCCGCAGGGACTGGAAGCAGGCTCTGGCCTGCTCCTGGGGACACGGCCCGGTCCCAAACTCCCCACAGCAGCTCCCCCTCACCGACCCG